TAGCGATCAGAGGTCTAGTCAGGAAGAGAGTGTGTGTCCCGTGATGCACCCGTTTCACAGTTGGTGTCACCACCACTCCCTCTTCCCTAAGGTATTTCTACTGTTCTTATCTCCCACATCCCAGTGTATCGCTGAACCATTCACAGCACATTACAACGACGCTAACATGCTCATTCACACATATTCCATTCACGCATGCAGTAATCATGTTTACACACGGCACACAGCCTACAATTATCGTTCACATTACACGGCCCTTGGGCTCACATTTTCACAATATTCATTCAAATATACGGCACAAGTGCCCATACTCATGTATTACACAACATTTACATACAATTCACATCCATCAATTTCGGATCAATACACATCATGTTCACATATCACGGCACATGGCCCACATTACATTTCTCAGCAATTTCCTACCTACTAACTTAGGCACAACACAATATCAAGCAAAATAACAACAATTCATGCACAAAAGAGTAGGATAGAGTCCCCCCTTACCTTGGATTGAAGACCCACATGCTAAATCCACCAAGAAGTGCTCCCCCTCACGGATTTCGTCCTAAACACATGGAGAAACTCCATGAAAACCCAAGGAAACCACGAAAACAGAGAAAAGGGGATGAGAAACGGAACCCTAACCATTAAAACTTACCCCTAAGCGTTCTCCACATAGATTCAACCTTCAATCAAGCTCCCGAACGGCTTTGGAGGCAATTAATCGATGGAATAGGGCTTTGGGAACGAGAAGATCAAAGGAATTTTGAAGGGAGAGGGAGAAGTAACTCTCCCCGAACCCTAACCCCTTTTAAATCCTTTTCTGGTCGTGACACTCTCGCTGCAGCGAGGGACCTCGCTGCAGTGACACACCCTCTCGCTACAACAAAAAAACCAGAGAAAACTGTACTCTGGTTTCTGCAGAATCTCGCTACAGTGAGATTGCACTAAAAAATGCACCCCAAACTGTCGCTACAGCGAGAAGAAGATAGTTCTGATCTTTCCTCCCAGGGCACTCTCGCTACAACGAGAATCCTCTCGTTGCAGCGAGAACAGCCCAGTGTTACGCCCCGCACTTAGGCACTTAACTCATTTTCAGCCTATCTAGTCATACATACACATATATACACACATCCATGTCCTTAATACACATAAAACATCATTTTCAAATAAATCAACATACATATGAATATATATATATATAAGAATAATAATAATTAATATTACCAAAATTCGGAGCGTTACAACAAGCCTAATATGGTTGCAATATAATAGTATGATATAATTTTTTCAAATATAGTTGTTACCATATTCTAAATAAAATCAAGACAATGTTTATTTAAAATAATTGTCTGTATATATATTATTGTAATTAAAATTTTTACTAATTAAATTATTAATGTTTAAAAAATTATAAATTATTAATAAAAAATTTAAATTTTTATTGGCAATAATAAAAGCTAGTAAATAAATAAATAATAATAATTTTAGTGATATTTAAATTATTATTAACATTTATCATTATAAATTAAAGTTTTTAATAGTAACAAATTAAATTTTTATCGTTCTTTATAATAGTGAGTAAAACTTTTATCAATATTAGATACCATGATAAATAATTTTTTATCAATAAAATTTTTAATAATTATTTTTATTGTTACTAAAAATTATAAAAATTACCGTTAAAACTTATTTTTGTTGGAGTGAAAATTATTATATTTGATTCTACTGTTCAACGTTTTAGTTAAACTTTTTATCAACATTTGAAAGATTTATATCACTTGCATACATGCATGCTAAGTACCAGCAAATGCCATTCTTCACAATTGAATCAACCTCCTAGGACTGTGAACAGCACATTCCATATGTTTTTTCATTAAAAAAAATATAAAGTAGGTTCAAATAAGTTCACATGCAACATATATTAGTCTAATATAATAAAGTACAATGAAAATAATATATATTATGAAATATCAATATGCATTTACTTCAGTAATAACATGTAAAGATTCAATAGATTTGTTAAGAAACATTTTCAGGAAGTTCTCTTTCAATTATATAACACGACTATGGTTATCTTCAATAAAACCAACAAAAACATTAGATTCAATCCCATGAGAAATGATCTGTCAAAACAAAATCACAGTTATGACCATACACATCTTGGAATGCAAATGCTTGGCGTATTTTGGGATTTCACATAAGTCTAGTGGCATTGACAATATTGTAGATATCATCATCCCCTAAACAAATAAATAGAAAACCAAAAAGATGATAACCAAAATGTCGTAAAAAATAGGGTAATTTGAGATAAAATAATTTAGCCTTAATTACCTTTTTTATTTATTTAAGCCTTAATTGCTTTTGTAAATTAGTAAAATCTAATTATATCCTGAATATCGAGGGGGCATGTAATGCTCTTCCTCAATGTATTAAATTTAATTTTATATTTAAAGAATTTTTTTTAAAAATATTTACTTATTAATTCTTAAAATTATTTAATTTTTATCTTTAAATGATCGTTCAATTTAATTTTTTCCTTCTAAATCTTAAATCAAATTTAAAATTATAAACTTCCTTGTATTTTTTTTATGATGAACCCTAAATTATATAATACAGAATAGTGATTCTGAGAACAAATTTCCTTATTTTGTTTGTAAATCTTTGTTTCTCAGATCATTTGTGAATCTATGAAGTTAGTACATTCATAGCATGGTACGAATGGTTGTAGAGTTGTTTTAAATAATAAACCAGCATACAAAAATCTTGAATATATATCATACATGTCAATCCAGTTGATTGCTCAATCACGATACTGGGCTGCAAGTCTTCGGATATCCCAAAATAATATAAACTAGCATGCAAGATTTGAAGGGCACACTTAAAATCTTGTTTAAATAATGACTAATGAGTAGAACTGGGAAATAGGATTCAAACCTATGAGCTAACTCTTAAAATTATATTTTTAACTCTATTTTTTAATAACCCATTTTATAACAGAGCTTTTTAGCCCTGACCCATATATTTTTTAAATAAAAGTGGGCCAAAACAGTAAGGGCTGGGGGTGACCCGTGAGTCAAGTGCAACTCTTCTTTCTTACATTTCCTTTGTAGAACCTTTTGCATAACTCTTCTTTTCTTTCCAGCGTTTCCTTTGTAGAACCCTCTTCTTTCCTTCGTCATAAGAACTTTCCTATGGCACTTCTATTGATTTTCACTGTTTTTTCGTGTTTCTTTAGCTGATTTATCTTTTCATATTTCTTTTGATTTTCTTTCTTTTCATTTCAGATCAATGCTTCTTCAACAGAGAATAGTTTAAACTTAAATGATTTTGGTCTTCGCTTTGAGCATTCACAACTTTTACATTCCCTTCTATTTGTACCAAGACCTCTGCAGAGCTGAGAATTACAGGTATTCATGTTTAATTGCAACCATATAAAGTTGTGGTATAGCTTGATTATAGTTTTCACTGCTGCAGACTTTGAATTGTTATAATAATAAACATATGAATTGTTATAATTTTCTTGTTGGTTTTGTGTTTACATAACGACTCCAATAGAGCCCTCTTCGTTCGGTTCATTTGAACATCTTTACAGGTAGCTCTATTGTTGAATGTGTCTTAAATGCGTATAAATTGGGTTTGCCTTGAAAATGTTTGATGAAACGCCGTAGAGAAATGTGAAATAAAGTAAAGATAGCATTTGCACAAATGTGAAATAGAGTAAGGATAGCATTTGCACATCTTTCTGCTTATATTAATATCCCAAATGATAATTTTTTCTATTCCAAATCAAGGCCAATCAAATCTTAGCCCCCATTCCCATCAATGTCAATGAACAAAGATATGAAGAAACTTTTTAATGGGTGGAAAATACGTGATAACATAGAACAGAACAAGATATTTAAGCTTTTGAAAAAACAAATGGTTCGGTTAAAATTAGAATACATGCAAAGGCACACAATGCTAAACATATGGATATATTGTCAATGTATAATTTTGAACATTATCATCCCTCTTGTATTGTATATGAAAAGGAAAAAATATCATGTACTAGAAAATTCTTTTATTATTCTTTTCTCTATTGTATTTTGAAGCAGTGTAGCTCATATTCAATTTTATCTTAAAAACTTAAGCATTTGTGTTTTATATATGACTAGTTGCGTATAATATTATCTTTAAATATTTGTTTTTTTTTCTTTACATAAGTCTTTTTGGTATATAAAACGAATGAACTACTGATTAAATTGCCTTTTTGAAATATAGATTTTATTATGGAGTCTGAAAATCAACATATGAATATTGAAGATGAAGTTATTTTTGAAACCCCAATCACTTTTTCTGAAAACGTCGAGTCAGAAAGAAAGAGACTTCAAATGTGTGGAAGTTTTTTTCAAAAATTAGTAAAGATAAGGATGGTGTAGAAATGGCTGCGTGTAACTTTTGTGAACGTGATTATGCAATTGGTAAAAATTCTAAGTCAAAAACAAACTACGAGACTTCACATTTAAGTCGCCATATTTCTGTTTGTAAAAAGATTTTAAACTCAAATATAAATGTAGATGATATGTTATCCAACCCAAAGTCCAGCATCACACAAATTAATCAAAAGATCCACCATGAGTTGCTTGCCAAAGCTATAATTTAGCATGATCTTCCTTTAATTTTGTGGAATATGAGAGTATTAGGAAATGAATAAAGTATTTAAATCCAAGTGTTGTAATGCCTTCTAGGAACACTATTTTGTCAAATATTAAAAACTTTATACTACAGAGAAAGATAAACTTAAGCAAATTTTGTCTAAAATTTCTAATAGAGTGTCTTTAACTTCGGATGTATGGACAACTTCTACCACTAAGGGATATATTTGTTTGACAACACACTTTGTGGATGACGAATGGAAATTAGTCAGTAGAATTCTTAATTTTTGTTGGATGAAACCTCTACACACTAGATTTGAATTAGAAGTTATCCGATTTGATAGCTTGAAATATTGGGGAATGGATAAAAAGTTATTTTCTATCACTTTAGACAATGCTTCTGCTAATGATAGTATGCAAGATATTTTGAAAGCTCATTTTCGTTTACAAAATAGTTTATTGTGTGATGATGAATATTTTCATGTTCTTTGTTCTGCTCATATTCTTAACTTGATTGTCCAAGAGGGTTTGAAAGTAGTCGGTGAAGCACTTTATAAAATTAGAGAGAGTGTTAAGTATGCGAAAGGATCAGATGGAAGGATGATTAAATTTAAAGATTGTGTGCAAGAAGTTGGTATTAATAAGAGTATTGGTTTACGATTGGATGTCCCAACTAGGTGGAATTCAACATATTTGATGCTTGAAAGTGGAATTAAATATGCAAAAGCATTTGATATTCTTAGAGTGACCGATACAAATTATAAATATTGTCCATCAGAAGAAGAATGGAAAAGGGGAGAGAAGATGTATGAATTTCTAGAACCATTTTATGAGATAACTAACATGATATCAAGATCTTCTTACCCAACCTCAAATTTATATTTTTTGCAAGTGTGGAAGATTGAGTGCATGTTAGATGAAAACTTGGTTAATGATGATGAGGTGATAAAGGAAATGTCTGTGAAGATGAAAACAATATTGACAAATATTGGAAAGAGTATAGTGTGGTATTAGCGTTTGGAGCTATTCTCGACCCACATTTGAAATTAGACTTAATACTTTTTGCTACACCAAATTTGATTATTCAACTTCTGAAGATAAAGTTAAGAGTGTGAAAGAAAAGTTTGACAAACTATATGAAGAGTATATGAGTGATCATTTCAATACACCAAATGCTTCTCAATCTCAACCATTTGCTGAATTTAGTACATTGGATAAGGCAAGTGAAGAAGGAAGTAGGCACAAGAGATCAAAAGTATTCAAGGTATTTTTCTATATTCCTTTATTAAATTTATACTTTTATTATTATGTTGTTTAAGTGATTATTATGTTATATATTGCAGGAGTTTAAAAGGTTTCAAAGTGAAACCAAATCTAACATAGGGAAGAGTGAATTAGATCTTTATTTGGAAGATAAATCACTTGATTATGATGATAATGAGGATTTAGATGTGTTGAATTATTGGAAGTATAATGAGAAAAGGTTTTTGACACTTGTAATTATGGCACGAGATGTTTTAAGCATTCCAATTAATACAGTAGCCTTAGAATTTTCTTTTAGTATTGGTGGTTGAGTCTTTACTAAATATAGAAGTTCTACCCTTCCTAATCATGTCCAAATGCTCATATGCAATAGAAATTAGTTGCACAGTTTTATTCCGAATCCTAATGGTAATAATTTAGACAATATTTTTATAATTTTATAGGCTTTTAGTTAATTTTATTTGATTTTTTATCTAATTATTTCTCAATTTTTTGTATATTTTAGATGAAGATTATTGTAAACCTATTTATCGAGGGATTGAGGAATTGAATATGCTTCAAAAAGATGATATTGAAGGCTAGTGATGAATTGAAGAATGAAGATTTTTTATGTTTTGTGTTTATTTTATTTTATTGCCTGAAAGATAGTCGAACTTAAAATAGGTTTTAGGGTTGTTTTTGTTGAAACGTTGGTTTCTTGATGTTGTTATTAGCAATTTGCTTCGCTGTCCTTAACAGATTTTACTTCTTTGTTGAAACATTGGTTCTCACCTAGTTGATAGATTGATGGAAAATGGAAAAAACAAGGTCAGTTTATTAGTTTACTTTGTCAATTAGTTTTTATTTCACTAATTCTATTATGCTTATATAACTTTTCGTATATGCTTTTGATGGATGGTTTCTTTCTTGATCTTGAAATAGGTGTTTCTTAAAATTTTGGAAAAGTATCTTGACTTTTGGATCAGATCTTTGTTTTTTTGCAGAAGCAAAGAGCTTGGACAATGCAATTGTTGGCTATAGCATGCTTATCACTGGCAGCTAAAATAGAAGAGACTGAAGTTCCTTTGTGCCTTGATTTGTAGGTAAAACACTAATATTTTAATGCTTAATAGTTTAAACATCTTAGTCAAATTACAAATGTCCTTGAATTTACATGTGTGGTAATCCATTTTCTGTCACTACAATAGGTGAATCTAAGTATGTATTTGAAGCTAAAATAATACATAGAATAGAGCTTCTGAAAATGAGTACATTGAAGTGGAGAATGCAAGCAATTACCCTTTTTTTCTTCATTAATTATTTTGTGGGCTTACCCATGGATCAATTTTAACCCACTCCTATGGGATTTTTGACCTTGTAGACTTTTTAGATTGAAGACTATTTGGCCCTATGGGCTTTTAAGTCCTAGCCCACATGGGTCAGGACTAAATGGGTGAGGCTGGCCCATTTGCCAGCTTTACTAATGAGAGATTGTCATCATGTCAATCCTCGGTTAACTTAACATGATTGAATGTTTTATCTTTCTTTGTTTATAATTTTACTGTTTCTAAAATAAAAATTATCCATAAACTTAAACCGGTGGTCATAAAAAAAGATTTAAGGAACATCGAGATAATAAGGGAAGATTGATTGCAGCCCGAAAACACAAGCTCCAAACTGTACATGATACCTAATCCAAAAGGCTAAGCGAACATGAATGAAGAAACGAAACAGTGGCAAACAGTTTTTTTTTAAGGGCCTTTTTACAATTAAAAAAATATTAAAAAACTCGTTTACAAAAAGAAATTATAATAAAAATAAAAATTAAATTAATTAAACTAATATTATTAATCCACATGGGAGGAGTATCTCATACCCTTTCAAAGATGAGGGTACATTACCACAACGAGAAACTAAGACTTTGTTTAGAAGTTAGTTTATTTGAAGAAGGAAAAGAAAAAAAAAAAAACTTTTATAGTAATTCTTATTTAAAAATTTTTAAATAAAAGAAAGATTTATAAAACCTCTAAAATCCTGCTAATCTTATACTTTTAAATTTTTCTACTTTAAAGGATTTTGTACTGGCTTTCATTCCTCTTCTCTTGCCCTCTAAACGTGGATTTTCTATTTTCTTTTAAATTTTCTAACAAAGCCTAAATAAAGTAGATAATCATTTAAAAGTAATTCTTTAATAACAAACAAATAATTTTTTCTCTTATGTATAGACAATAATAAAGATAAAAAGAAGTTAACAAACTTAGCATCTTACCCTTAACATTTTTTTTTCTATCAAAGTAATTGTTAAAACATTGATAATATCTGCAGAATTACAAGATAACATCATTCACTAATTAACCCAAATAAATTAAAATTGATTCTAAAAATTATTTAATTCAACTGTATAAACTATGTTAACAAATAAAAAAAATTAAAATATATCTTAAGTCCAGGAAATGAGTAATTAGAGTTTCTCTATCTCTAAATAACCAACTATTCTAATTTATATTCTTTTATTGAGAGAATTTTTTAACAATATAATATGCAATTAATTTTTAATATTTGGCTACCTCAATGTGGGGAAAGCATAGACGTGGTAACTTCTTCAATTATCTTTTTAATGTCAAGCAATCTCGAACGTATTCTTTGTTTAGAGTTATTTTTTATCACATTACTTCAAATATTTTATTCGTACAATGTAATATTTATTTATTTATTTAAATAAGTATTAATTTCTCTGGATGCGATACTAAGAATATGTTTGATTTTTTAAAAAAATAGTTTTTAAAAATAAAATATAAAATTATTTTTAAAATAAAAATCAAATATGCTCTATCTTTGTGCTTTGTCTTTCAATTAATAGTCATTTATGATAATTTTAGCATCTTCATCTCACTCCATAGTAAAAGAGAGAGAGAATTACATGAGAAGTTTAGAATAATGAGATTGTGGAAGTAGACTATGGAATTGAAAGTGAGGAGAGCAACGAGAACATTTTGTAATTTACAAAGATGTATCATAAATTACTATTAGAAGAAAGGAAAGAGAGTATAGAGTTAGTATGACATCTATGAGTGACAATATTTTAAAAATAAAAATTATCACATTCTGCAGGTGCAATACTTATAGTGATAAGATAAAAATAATTTTTTTTTAAAAATTATAAATAAGCCTATATTTAGAAAATAGTTTTAAAACTTAGCCCATATCAATTAATAAGTCATAAATGAATTAAGTTATTTGTAAACTATTCAAGTTTAACTTACTAAATATTTAACTAAATTTATTTATTTAATTAAAAGTAAACTTAAGTTTAAAGTTAAACTTAATTATTTAAATAAGTTAAGTTTAAGTTTTGAAAGTATGATATTAATAGTTTAAATTTGAAAAGTTAAATGAGAGAATTTATTTTAAAAAAAATAAAAAAGTATAAATTATTTCTAACTTATATAAAAAGTTTCATTATTTTTTAACTGATTCACATTCTTCTGTCTCTAAAAATTTATTTAAGTTGAACTTATATAAGTGAGAGGGGAGAAAGGAATCGAAGAATTGAATCCTATATACCTTGAGAGTGCATGTCCAATTAATTTTTGTTTTTAAAAGTTTTTTAAAAATAAATAATTATTTTTCAAAAGTAATCTCTTACCAAATATACACTCATTTAATATAAGGGTTTTGTCATTCTTTGGCACCATCCTCCGGAAGGTGAGCAAAAGTGAATATAAATGAATGTTTTTTCTCATGACATTAACACAGCTATAATGGGGGTATCGTCCATAATAGTAGGTGGGATTGATTCTTGGCTATTGGACCATCACTCAGGGTGAGCTATGGGAGGTTTTATGTTCAATGTTTAATTTAATGGACCGAGTTTGATTTAGCTGTTAAGTTTGTGCATTGAACCTTGAGAAATTGAGGAGTTTTCACACTGCTAGTACTGGAACATAGTTGTATGAGAGGCTATTTATGGTTGCAAATACTACCCTATACTAATCAGTATCAGGAAAGTTGGCAGAGTTGGATCAAGTTGTCTGCAGGCATGTCCAACACTTATGTCGATAAGGAAGAGTTGATGAAGTTCTTTTTCAAACGTAATAAAGGAAAAACGAAATATTTGGTAAGTACCCATTGAGGTGCCTAGACCTAGAAAGAAATAGTAATAAAATATAGAGAAAAAAATGAAAGATGTGATATAATCACAGGAGAGATATAGAATGATGTAAAAAAATTAAATAAGTGTTAATAATGTTTAACCTGTATTAGTAAATTGGTTTTTTAACTTTTAATTTTATTTTCCCTTGATTCTGTAATTTTTTAATTTTATTTTTATTTTTTAAATTTTAAAAGTATTTTAAATAAGTCATTTTCTATAAAAAAAATAAATTGTTAACTCCATTCTACCTCTTTCTCACCTGTCCTTTTTTTCTTTTCTTTTATTGTTATTGTTCATAAGCAAGTACTAGATCATTTTTTTGTTTTTCTTATTCCGCCTCTTCTGTTCTACATATGTATTCATTAGTATCATATTAACCGTATTCGAAATTGTCATACTCATCACACTTAGTTCATATGCCTCCATCTTGCTATCATTGTCTCACTCTATATCTTCTCCTTCGACTTCAAGATATAGTTGGAAAACTCACAAGAATGTGTTGCGTTTGTCAAGAGTTTGAACCGGGTGAAACTGATCATGGAAATGTGAATAAAAGGTAAGAGAAAAAAGAAAAAAAGATAGGATAAGAAAAAATGATAAGAAAGGGAATAAAAAGAGAAAGAAGATGAATAATAATTTTTAATAGAATTAATATTTTTTAAAAGTTAAAGAACTAAAATAAAACAAAAAAAAAGGTGGAAGCTCAAACAAAAACAAAATTAAAAGTTAAAGAACCACTCTATTAATTTAACTTAATATGTAGTGTCTAAAATTCATAATTAAAAACAAAGTAATGTCAACAACAAGGTTTTGCCTTAAATACCCTCCCTTTCTATAATTTTTTTTATTGCTTTCAAATTATTTCATGGCGTAGCCTTTGAAATAGTTTTTTCAATTAAGTATGCACGGTAGAAAGGGAAAAAAAATTTGTTCGAATACTTTATAATTTCTCCCCTCGATAACCAGATGTTTTGATGTTTGCGATTTTCTAGTTGATTACGCTTGTACTTTTTCACCAACAAGTTCAATAAGCTACATTACTGTTTGTCTAACGCAAAAATCCATCATTTTTTGTTAAGAAAACAAAAATGCACCTTTTCATATGTTTGTGCGTTTCCCAGTTCTATCCAAATCATGGTCGTAGAATGAAATTATTTTTAGTTTGAACGAGGAGGGTATTGATCATATATGAAATGAGCTTAATTTTGGGTAAATTAAATTAAGAACAAGTCAGCCATAACATAAAAAGTATTAGATTAATATATTACAGTCCTAACAATGATAGGATTACAATATTCATCTACGATCACAACTTAATTAGAGACATATATATCAGATATGCTAGACCAAACAAGACTAGATCAGAGACCAGTGACACCCAACAACATTTGAAATGGATTGGACCAAATTAACATACTCAAACATAAGTAAAGCAACGACTGAAACATAAATTAAAGACATGACAATACTTAACATAACCAGACACAAAGACTAGCACGACCAACGCAGAAAATAGAGACTCAATTGGGTCCCAAGTTAAGATCAGTTACAGCCTAGACATGAACATCACCCTACAGCTTCAAATCAAGATTTGGCTCACTAGTTGACTCCTTCTTCACCGAAACCGCTACTGGAGCTTGTACAGGTGGTGCAAGTGCAAGTTCAGTCATTGCAGCTTCAGGTGATGCAATAGGTGGAGCCAGAGTAGGTGCTATTGCCCCAAGTCCAATTGTAGGTGGAGCCAATACCAGTGGTGCAAGTGTTACTCCCCCAAATCCAACATGTTCACCAGCACCCACTGCATCAACGAAGCGTCTATCAACAGCAGTGGGTGCAATGGGCTGGTCCATGAGGGACAGCAAGTCTAGAGCGACTTGGTGCTGCAGCTCAGGTGACGGCGATGGTGGCGCTATCACCATCAACTCGTGGTCAAAAGGGAGAAAACTGTTG